CAAAACAAAGCAAAACAACAACAACAACAAAAATGTAGAAACATTTCGTCTTTCATCCGAAAGACTTCCTCAGTCTGGACCTAAGATGTCTTTTTCTTTTTTTGTTGGTTATATCACAAAATTTATTGTTATTGTCAGAATGCACTGAAATATCACAATATCATATTTGAGCCATATCGCCCACCCCTAATGTGGAGGGTGGACCACCGAGGTGCTCCACAGAACGCCACAGGAAGTCCTTCCTCCCTGTGGATATCAAACTTTTCAACTCCTCCCCCTTTCTGCACCTAGGATAATAAAATTAACCCTGCACCACAATAAACCCTTTAATGTTTTCACATCAAAACATGTCACACATCTGCGCCTGACCTGTTTGGATCTTAATTTTCATTCAACCTTTATTTAGACAATTGCTGGTATTTGTATATTCTGTTATTTTTATATCTATTGTGATTCCTTGTGTATTTTCCTTTGTACTGAAACTCTGGCACAGCAAATTCCTGTAGGATCAATAAAGTTCTGTCTTCCATCCATCCATTTTCTTCCGCTTATCCGGGGTCAGGTCGCGAGAGTAGCAGCTTAAGTACGGAGGCCCAGACTTCCCTCTCCCCAGCCACTTGGTCCAGCTCCTCCGGGGGAATCCCGAGGCATTCCCAGGCCAGCCGAGAAATATAGTCCCTCCAGCATGTCCTGGGTCTTCCTCTGGGTCTCCACCCGGTGGTACATGTCCGGAACACCTCACCAGGGAGGCGTCCTGGAGGCATCCTAACCAGATGCTCGAGCCACCTCAACTGGCTCCTCTAGACGTGGAGAAACAGTGGCTCTACTCTGAGTTCCTCCTGGATGACTGAGCTTCTCACCCTATCTCTAAGGGAGAGCCCAGACACCCTGCGGAGAAAACTCAGTTCGGCCGCTTGTATCCGAGATCTCGTTCTTTCGGTCACAACCCACAGCTCATGACCATAGATGAGGGTAGGAACATAGATCGACTGGTAAATTGAGAGCTTCGCCTTTTGACTCAGCTCTCTCTTCACCACGACAGACCTGTACAGCGCCTGCTTCACTGAAGACGCTGCACATATCCGCCTATCGATCTCACGCTCCATTTTTTCCCTCATTTGTGATCAAGACCCCAAGATACTTGAACTCCTCCACTTGGGGCAGGACCTCCTCCCTGACCCGGAGAAGGCACTCTACCCATTTCTGGAGAGACAGCAGGCTCAAATCGTGGTAGTGGCAGTCTTAGTGGCACCTCCGGTGTCAGGTGTCACGCTGCAGCCGGCTTCACTGGCAGCTGCCACGCTGCTGTGGCACCTGCCGCTAGTTTACAGCAGCTGCCAGGGAATTTAGTGACAGATGACATTGTTTCTCTTTTAGTGACAGATGACACAGCTTCTCTAGATTTAATATTTTTATTATTATTATTATTTTTATTTAACCTGCCACAATTTTTTTTAATAATTATTATTTTTATTTCTTTATTATTTTTATTTACCGACATCTGCCATGGAATTACTGGCACTGACAGAGATTTAGTGACAGATGACATGGTTTCTCTTAATGACAGATGACAGCTTCTATCGATTTTTTTAAAAAATTATTTTTTTTTTACCTGCCATAATTTAATTTTTTTTTTTTTTTTGTGGCATCTGCCATGGAATTACTGGAAGCTGACAGAGATTTTCTGACAGATGACAAGGTTTCTCTTTTACTGACAGATGACACAGCTTCTCTCAATTTATTTTTATTACCATTATTATTACATGCTTTGCCACCTGCCGCTGGTTTACTGGCAGCTGCCACGCAGCTGTGGCAGCTGCCAGTAAACCAGCAGCAGCATGGCAGCTGCCGCTGGTTTACTGGCAGCTGCCAGGGAATTTACTGGCAAATACCAGCTTGAACGGCACCTGTCACAATAGTAGGAGCCACTAAAGCAGACACTAGGTAGCCAGAGTGTGGCAGAGCTGCCAGGGCTGCTACCTGTTCTGGGGTTTTGCTGATGCAGGTTTTTGGAAAACGTGCTAGTTATATAGCCCGTTTGTAAATAATTATTTTTGAAATCAGGATGTTATTTGTTAATTAACCGTGTAAGACCTTTAATATTTAGAATTAATTTAATTGATGGAAGATGTCAGAAGTAATTAAAGCTGCCACTAGGTGCCACTGTTTCAGTGGCAGCTTCCACTAGTTCTAAGGAAAATAATTAAACAGCTGGATTATTACACAGCATTGATGGTTAATGTAACTTTTTACTCAGAAAATGAAAAGTCGTTGGCACTCTGAAAGCCCCTGGCCATGTGGGTGCCACAGAACAGGGGCTGACACGGTGCCACAGGATGCCAGATGGTGCCACCAGATAATAGTAATACTAATTGTACTCTATTAAGCTAAGCCTGTCCGTCTCCTTCCTTATCTCTATATCAGATGAAAATAGGCTCCAGCAATGAAGACATCCAGTTATTTTGGTTGCAATGTTTTTATTTCTAAAGACTACACAAATCATACATCATGTTTATTAGTAGCTTAAAATGCATGTCCAAACCACTGTCCCTCCTCTGGACATGTCCAAACCATCTCAGTGTGTCCTCTCTAACTTTATCTCCCTGTTGTTCAGCGTGTGCTGTACCTCTGATGATCTCATTCCTGACGATCTCATTCCTGATCTTCTCCATCCTTGTCACTTCTAAGGAGAACCTCAACATCTTGCCACTTCCAATTCTGTCTCCTGTCTTTTTGTCAATGCCTCGGTCTCCAGATCACACAACATAGCTGGTCTTGCCACTGTCTTGTAAACTTTTCAGTGTTTCCCCTACCATTATACAAGTGGGGCCCCCCGTCTACCAACCCCCCCACCCCACCACCACCACCACCACCAACACACACGCACACACACACACACACACACTGTCGGCACTGACGTAATGCTAAAGTCAAAAAGTGCCAAAAAGCTAAAGGCAGCCTCTTCCCTCATGCTGACCCCAACCCCCGCCCCTAAAACTGCCGGTACAAGCAGCACGGCTGAGATGTGTGTCTGTCTCTCTCTTCTCCCAGCCCTGCTCTAAAACTGTAAAACTGTCAGTGCAAACAGCGCGTAGCATTCTCTGTTCAAGCCCTAAGCCTGTCGGTATAAACAGCATGCTGCGCAGCTCATCTAGGGGAAATATTACTTTTCCTTTGATCATCCAGATATAATACACCAAGCACTGTTTGCTAACACTTAGCATGATAAAAACAGCTACAAGTTGTGGGATTAGCTTACCGCCTTGTTTAACGTCGTACGACCGTAAACTTCTGTGATAAATCCACAACGCCAAATATTAATTCTCGGTACGCGATGAAATATGCAGTATAAAGCTTGGAAAAGCGCTAGAAGTCTTAGTTCTTCAAACTTAGTTCACAGTAGGGCATTAACATCGATTGCTAGGACATCTATCGATGTTAAAAATGTTATGTCGAGTATCCGTAGTGACGTCATATTATGTGACCACCGTATGACCGTAGGGGGAGGTGTTGCACTGTTGCAGGTCACAGAGTATGGTGTAACACCGGGTCCAATCCACCGAACCAGAACCAGTTTCGGTTTAAGTTTAGTTTTTGCCGTGCTGCATGTTTCTTCACGTTTGTAGTTTAATAATAATAACTAATAGTTTAGTTTTTCCTGTGACTTATTTGCAGTATGATAAATGGTAGGAGCATAATATACACTCCCAATGTTTTGTTGGTTTATTTTTTGAAAATAATTACCTTTTTTTGTGGTTTTATTTATTTATTTATATTTGTATCTTGAGATCTATGACGTCGTCAAATACTCGAGTTCTACTCGGGTTTTATTATGTTAATGTCGAGTTTAAAAATTATATACTCGTTCAACCCCTAGTTCACAGTCAGCGCTGAAACTCCAGAAGAAGCTGATTGGCTGGAAAGAAAGAATAAATCATGTGATACAGGTCTGTTTTGACCTGGGTGGGGGGGTTCCTCCTCTGCTCTGCACGCATCTTTCAGCTGCTGCATAGAGACTATACAGACCGCTGCGCTCGGGCTGAGTTAATTATAAAATGGGAGATAAGCTTGTGGCCAGTTCACAACTGTGTAACATAGATTTTCTTGTGAGTAGAGAATGTGTGAGCAGTGCGGGATTGCGCAGGTGCATAGCTTAGAGGGAACATAGGTCGGGTGTATCAGAGATGGACAAGAAGCTGAGTGCAGGGAACTTTGTAACATGGTGTGGAAGCCATCATCTCATCTTGAATGTGATCAAAACAAAGGAGATGATTGTAGATTTCAGGAGAATCAGGAACAGGTCCAACACTTTTTCTATCAGGGGAGAAGAAGTGGAGGTGGTGGAGAAGTATAAATACCTTGGTGTTCACCTGGACAACAGACTGGACTGGAAATGCAACAGTGAAGCGTCAACAAGAAGGGACAGAGCAGACTGTACTTCTTGAGGAAGCTGAAGTCCTTCAGTGTTTGCAGCAAGATGCTGCATATCTTCTATAAGTCTGTTGTAGAGAGCGCTGTCTCTTCTGCATCATCTGCTGGGGGAGCAGCACCAGAGCAAGAGACTTAAAAAAGATCAACAAGCTCATAAAGAAGGCTGGCTCAGTTCTGGGGACTCCTCTAGAACCTTTGGAGATGATTGTAAAAGAAGGATTCTTCATAAAATGAAGAACATTATAGACAACCCTCAGCATCCTCTTCATCAGACTGTCATACAACAACAGACTGTCATACAACAACAGACTGTCATACAACAACAGACTGTCTTCAGTCAGAGGCTTCTTCAGATTCGTTGTAGGACAGACCACTACAAGAGATCCTTCCTGTCCACAGCCATCAGCATCTAGAACAACTCTTTAATGAAACCAGGATGATGAGTTACTACAACATTTAATTTCCCTCTGGGATTTTTGAATTTAATTTAAGTGAATTACATAGTCCAGGAGGTTTACTTGTAAATTACTGCAGGTTGGACTTAGATTATTTGCCAAATGGCATCATACCTGTGCAGTAAACTTTTTTGGCTGTAGTTGCCATGACAATGCTGGTTAAGCCCGTTCCTGCTCCCATATCCAGGACTGTGGACCCTCTGAACAGGTCTGGTTTAGAGAGGATGAAGTCAGCCAGAAGGAGTGCTCCACGCCAAACCTGAAACCAAAACCAAAAAATATTTTATTAATTCAAGTACAATTTAATATTATAAAGCACAACAGTCTGGAAAGTTCTTTACATTATTATTATTATTTTTTTTCCTTTTAGCTGCTCCCTGCGTTAGGGGTCGCCACAGCGAACTAAGTCGCATGAAGACTTGCAGTTATTTTTTTACACCAGATGTCCTTCCTGACGCAACCACAGACACCGAGCTACCACAGCTTCTGTGTGGAGCAGAGAGCTGCATCTAGGACACCCGGAGGAGCAGATGGTGGGGGTTAAGGGCCTTGCTCATGGGCCCAGAGTGGGACGAATGAGGGTGGGGGCAGGTGTGGGTGCTTCACCTACCCCACCCACATTTTTGATGTTGTCGTACAGGGGCTTGAACCGGCGATCTTCCGATCACAGGCCCACCTTCTCTAACCTCTGCGCCACCACTCCCCAAAGTTCTGGAAAGTTCTTTAAATAAAACATTTAATACTTTAACAACAAATACAATGATTTTTTAATACATTATTAATATATTTTATGCAGTGCGTAACATTTCTTTATTGCTAAAAAGCTAATAAATAAATAAATTTAAAAAAATACTGCACACAAAAGAGAAATAAAAGCTGGCATTTAAAAGCAGAAAGTAAACACCCCTGCCCTGTTGTAACACAAACCTTATGTGTAAATAGTCATTATATTAAAGCTGATCTTAAACAAAGCAAAGTATTTGAAGCAATTGAAAAGATCTCAATTTACTTATGTTTAGAAAATAATTGTTAATAAAATAAATTGTTTCTGTATAAAAGTAACCAAAAAAAGTCATACCACCCAATTCCTACATAGCTTTTGAGATATGAATTGAAATATGCCATACCGGTAATTAGATTGCAAAATAAATGTACTGACTAAAAATAGAAAACCATTGTGAATGCCGACTCAGTATTCATACAATCGTACAGTTGTCTCTCTGCAACTGTCTTTACGCTAAAAGATTTGTAAATTTCATTAGGAGATAAGCTTAACTCTCACCATGTAACAAGTTTATTAATAATAATAACAATAATAATAATAATAAAAATAATAATAATGAAAATACTGTCTCAGAATTCAGTCAGTTACATTTTACTCACCTGTTTGCCAACATCTTCCAACGGTGTTGCCATAGTGTGCTCTGCAAACAATGCAAACCATGAAAAATTAAACAAGCCATTATGAGGAAAAATGGTATGTCATTTACAGCGCCTTGCGAAAGTATTCCGCCTCCTTGAACTTTTCAACCTTTTGCCACATTTCAGGCTTCAAACATAAAGATATAAAATTTGAATTTTTTTGTGAAGAATCAACAACAAGTGGGACACAATCGTGAAGTGGAATGAAATTTATTGGACGTGTCAAACTTTTTTAACAAATAAAAAACTGAAAAGTGGGGCGTGCAATATTATTGGGCCCCTTTACTTTCAGAGCAGCAAACTCAGTCCAGAAGTTCAGTGAGGATCTATGAATGATCCAATGTTGTCCCACATGACTGATGATGATCAATAGAATCCACCTGTGTGTAATCAAGTCTCCGTATAAACGCACCTGCTCTGTGATAGTCTCAGGGGTCTGTTCAAAGAGCAGAGAGCATCATGAAGACCAAGGAACACACCAGGCAGGTCCGAGATACTGTTGTGGAGAAATTTAAAGCCGGATTTGGATACAAAAATATTTCCCAAGCTTTAAACATCCCAAGGAGCACTGTGCAAGCAATCATATTGAAATGGAAGGAGTATCAGACCACTGCAAATCTACCAAGACCAGACCGTCCCTCTAAACTTTCATCTGGAACAAGGAGAAGACTGATCAGAGATGCAGCCAAGAGGCCCATGATCACTCTGGATGAACTGCAGAGATCTACAACTGAGGTGAGAGAGTCTGTCCATAGGACAACAATCAGTCGTACACTGCACAAATCTGGCCTTTATGGAAGGGTGGCAAGAAAAAAGCCATTTCTCAAAGATATCCATAAAAAGTGTTGTTTAAAGTTTGCCACAAGCACCTGGGAGACACCAAACATGTGGAAGAAGGTGCTCTGGTCACATGAAACCAAAATCCAACTGTTTGGCCACAATGCAAAACGATATGTTTGGTGTAAAAGCAACACAGCTCATCACCCTGAACACACCATCCCCACTGTCAAACATGGTGGTGGCAGCATCATGGTTTGGGCCTGCTTTTCATCAGCAGGGACAGGGAAGATGGTCAGAATTGATGGGAAGATGGATGGGGCCAAATACAGGACCATTCTGGAAGAAAGCCTGTTTGAGTCTGCAAGAGACCTGAGGCTGGGACGGAGATTTATCTTCCAACAAGACAATGATCCAAAACATAAAGACACATCTACAATGGAATGGTTCACAAATAAACGTATCCAGGTGTTGGAATGGCCAAGTCAAAGTCCAGACCTGAATCCAATCGAGAATCTGTGGAAAGAGCTGAAGACTGCTGTTCACAAACGCTCTCCATCCAACCTCACTGAGCTTGGGATGTTTTGCAGGACGAATGGGCAGAACTTCAGTGTCTCCATGTGCAAAACTGATAGAGACATACCCCAAGAGACTTGCAGCTGGAACTGCAGCAAGAGGCGGAGCTACAAAGTATTAACGCAAGGGGGCCGAATAATATTGCACTCCCCACTTTTCAGTTTTTTATTTGTTAAAAAAGTTTGACACATCCAATAAATTTCATTCCACTTCACGATTGTGTCCCACTTGTTGTTGATTCTTCACAAAAAATTCAAATTTTATATCTTTATGTTTGAAGCCTGAAATGTGGCAAAAGGTTGAAAAGTTCAAGGGGGCCAAATACTTTTGCCAGGCACGATACATATCTGGGAATAATAACAATAATCTGGTCTTTACCAGATTATGGCATTACTTAGATCCAACCTCAAGTGTAGGAAAAACAAAACATACAACTTTCATGTTGGTATTTAGAAAATATAAAGCCACAATGAAAAGCTGTGTGAGAAAAAAATGTATTCCATCTTTGCAGCTTCCTCTAAATTTAAGATCGGCCAGGTGCTGCTGATCAAAGGTATTGATTAATTGATCATTATCAGTGTGATCCCCTCTATAAAAGCAGTTTTGTTGGTTTGCTGCTCTGGACTATACAGGAGTGTCAACCCAAGAGCTCCATCTCGGACTCTACAGAAATCATCAGATCAAAAGTCAGTGTTGGGAATTTAATTTCATTTAAATAATTTCAGAAAAATACTGTTGTAAATTATCCCATTTGCTCTGCTGGTTTTAACCTATTTGAGTTTGTTACTCAACTCTTTTAAAATACATTGCTCATATGAGGCCTGCTGGGTCTCCTAGTGATCTGATACCACTTTATTGTTTTAAAGAAGTTTTTTTCCATCTTGGCAAAAAAGGTTTGTGGTATTATAAATGGCAGCTTAGCAATTGGATATGTAACTGTGAATTTTAAGCTGGGCCTTCCTTGTCTGTTCTCCTTGTTGTCTTTTGTTAATCAGCCCCAATCAGTTTCTCCCCTGTCTCTTGTCCAGCTGTTTGTAATTATGTTCCTGTCTGGTCTGTGTATTTGTCTGTTGGTTAGTTTGTTCTGTGTCGGGTTGTCGTTGGGTATTCTCTCGTCCTGTCTTGGTCTTGTCCTGGTTCCGTCCTGACTACTCATATATAAGTTTATGCTGCCACGTCAGCCTGCTTTTGTTATTTATTAAAAAGTATTTTATTTCTACGTCTGCCTCCCGAGTCCTGCCTGTACACTGGGTTCAATTCTCTTCGGTCAGAAACTCTGACAGTACAACCCGACCACACAGAACCCAACAGGCAGGTTCAGTTTCGCTCACCTGTCTGTTCCAGCCTCACAGATGGGGAGTCTATAATCCAGTGTAGCGGGTTCCGGACCAAACCCGTCCGAACACAGGAAATAAACTGTCCAGCGATCAAAGTCCTGTCTTCTCCTCTCCTAGTTCTGGAGGAGGAGAGAAGATCTCAGTTCTGGGAGAAATACCGGACATCCAGGTCGAGTTTCTCCTTATCTCCAGCCCCACTCGGCTACTCGGCATGGACGTCGGGGGAGGACACAGAGCTGGAGGACGAGCTCTGTTTAGCTCCTGCCCTCCCTTCCCACCGTCGCCGCCAGAGCAGCAGAAAACGAGCCCGGCACCGGTCCACAAGATCTCAGTCGGCTTCTCTGACTCAAACAGCTGATCATCCTCGGTCCGGTGAGGCCGAATTGCCTGAACCCTGTTCCGATGTTTCCGTGAGGGCTGATCCGGTTGGCCCACCTTCCAGGTCCCTGGTGGGGGTAGGATCCGGCACCTCACCCCCACACAGCGTTCTCAAGATGATCAGTCTCGTCTCCTCTCGGTCCCAGTCCCCAGGCCAAACTTGAGACTGAGTGAGAGTTTTGCAGAGGGAGGGGCGACCCAGAGGACAATCAGAGCAGCAGTTCCACACTCCTCCAGCAGAGGTTGCCACCAAGGACTCTTCACGGGCGGTAGGTGCCTCAGATCTAACACAAAGAGATTCTATGCTCCAAAACCTGTTTTCCTCTGCTAAATGCAACCCGGAGTGTCAGAACACCTTGTTGGATTTAGCGGAGAAACTGTTGTTATCAGTACCTGGCCTCACCTCAATCCCAGGATATCTTCAGCTCCTGATTGAGGTCAGAAATATTAAAAGATCTGATCCTGACCCAGACCCTCATACTGCTGCTACACCAGACTCAGACTTTCTTGTTCTTGACCCCGATTGTTTTGTTCCTGATCCTACTGCAAACACAGACTTGATAGTTGTGGACTCACCGGCCCCAGAACCTGCAATAGGAGTCCCAGAACCTGCAGCAGGAGTCCCAGAACCTGCAGCAGCCACCCCAGAGCCTGCAGCAGCCGCCCCAGAATCTGTCACAGTTCTAGACACTGACTCAGTTCCACAGTGTGGCCCTGTTTCTTTAACTGACTTTTTCCCTTCACCAGTAACTGGTCCACCTCTGAGTTTCTCCGTGGGGGTAGGTCCAGAAACCACATCTTCTTTGAAAGTCTCTAAGGGGGTTCAGATGGGCCCAGAGGCTTCATCATCATTGGTTTCTGTGGGGGACCAGACTGCACCAGAAGTCACACTGTCGCCAAGGGTTTCAGTAGGTGTCCAGGTGAACTCCTCCTCTTGTCTTGCTGTGGGGGTCCAAGGGGATTTCTCTCCCCACGTCTCCTGTTCCGAGGGGGTCCTGGAGGACGCCCCTCATGTATCCTGTTCTGGGAGGGTCCTGGAGGACACCTCCCATGCTTCCTGTTCCAAGTGGGTCCTGGAGGACGCTCCTCAAGTATCTTGTTCCGGGAGGATCCTAGAGGACCTCTCCCACGTCTTCTGTTCCGAGGGGGTCCTGGAGGACGCCCCTCACGTCACCTGTAGTCCTAGGGTCTACTCGCCTTTGCCTGTGGGACCTGAATCTGCCGAGGGTCCTACGTCCCTGGGTCCTGCGTTCAGTCCCAAACAATCAACTGAAAAAGACTCTGAACCAACCAAAGAAGACTCTGAACCATCCAAAGAAGACTCTGAAACAACCGAAAAAGACTCTGAACCAACCAAAGAAGACTCTGAACAAGCCATAGAAGACTCCCTCTGCCCCGAGGGCCCCACGGCAGCTGCTTCACATAAGTCTTCTATGCCACCTGGGGATCCTTCTCCTCCTGCACTCTGTGAAGATTCTCCTCCTTGCCTGGAGCCCTCACCTCTACACAGGGGCTCCACACAGCATGGGTGTTCCACTGCTTCCACAGACTTGTCTCCTGATCTGACCCTGCGTTTGGAACTACCTCTTAGTCACCCACTTGAACTTGAGTCCATGTCTCGCCCTCATTCCATTTCACGCTCTGGTCCCACGTCTTGCCCAGACCGCACACCTTCCCAGGGTTGGAAGACAGTTGTGACCCTCCAGGCCTCCTTGCCAGCTGCAATCCCCCAGGGCACACTTACAGCTGCAGATCCCCAGACTCCCATGTCACCTGCTGCCTCCTGGGTCGCCTGGCCAACTACCAGACTGATGGTTCCCCCACTCATCTTTCCCCGTGCTGGGCGGTCATGGACCCTCAGGGTGAATGTCACCATTGGCCGTTTGCTGGAACCTCTGCCTTGTGTTGGACGGTCTCCCGGCCACCCCCCTGAA